AGACTCACCTAGACTCACCAAGACTCACCAAGACTCACCAAGACTCACCTAGACTCACCTAGACTCACCAAGACTCACCAAGACTCACCAGGACGCACCTAGACTCACCAGGACGCACCAAGACTCACCAAGACTCACCAAGACTCACCTAGACTCACCAAGACTCACCTAGACTCACCTAGACTCACTAACATGTCTTTAGATGCACCAACATGAACTAAGACGCGCTGACACACTGACTGACGGTTGCTGGAGGCCTTCAGAGCTTCAGGCTTCGTCTCCTGCATGTTTCAGGTCTTTCCCAGCTTCCGTCAGCCCAGGAGGACCGGACTCGCCAAGCTGAGCTTCGAGCTCTACAAGCTGCACCCCAAGGACTTCCTGTGCTGCCTCGCCGTCAGGGCCACGCTGTACGACGTGTACGCGCTGAGCTACGACTTCCGGTGCAGCCGCATCAAACACGTCCTCAAGTAGGTGGCGCTCTGCTGCACGCAGCCTCACGGTTACTACGCAGCGACCGACGCACAACGCAGCTCAGATGTCTGACCTGTGCTCAGCTTGTTCTCTGTTTGCAGTGTGGTGGTCCAGCGATGCGTCGGCAGCCTCTCCGTTCACGCTCTGCACTGACAGCTTGTGTTGTGTGTTTGTGTGTCTGCAGGTCGGTGCTGCGCTGCATCACCTTTGTGACCAGACTTTGCGGACAGCTGCTGCTCTGCACGTCTTCGTCGTTACTGCAGTTCACCGGCGACGGCGACGGGTAGTTTGTGTGTCTGTGTTCAGAGTTAAACGCCAGAGGAACGTTTTACTGTTTCGATTTTGAGGATTTTGTACTTTAACAGATGAAATGAATAAATTTGATTAAAACGTCATCGTGAATCATAAATATTAAAGTTCTTGATCTGCATAATAAAACATGCAGCGAAACATGAGTGGTTTTACAAACACTTGGTGCTGAGTTGAGTTTGGTGGTTTGTTGATGTCTCAGTCTGCTGCCTGAAGCCTGGTTGTGTTTCTGTGTCTCTGAACACAGACTCCCAGCTCAGGAACATTTCAAGACAAAAAAAAAAGAAAGACCACAAAGAGACACAAAATGAGAAAAAAAATAAGCAGAGACCCACAAATGCATGCAAATTTACCACAAATACAGACAATGACCACAAAGAGACACAAGAGGGCGACAAGGAGACAAAAATACCAGAAGAAGACACAAAATGTGCAAAAAGAAACGCATTGACGACAAAAAGGTTGTAAAATTATCACAAAAAACCACAGAGAAAGAGTCTACCAGATAAAGACCACAAAAAATGACCACAAAGAGACACAAAATGTCCTAAAATGCACAGACTGACCACAAATATACACAAAATGACCACAAATACCACAAATATACGCAAAATTACCACAAATACAAAGAGAATGACCACAGAGTGACAAAATGTCCAAAAAGACACAAACTGATGACAAAACGGTGGTAAAATTACCACAAAGAGACACAAGAGGGCGACGAGGAGACATGAAATGTCCAAAAAGACACACAAACTGAAGACGAAGGGGTTGCAAAATGACCACAGAGACACACAAAAAGACCACAAAGAGAAAAAGACAAAAAATGACCAAAAAGGGTCCACCAGAAAAAGACCACAAAAAGACAAAAAATGACGACAGAGACACAAAATGTCCTGAAACACACACACAATGACCACAATGAGACACAAAACATCCAAAAAGAAACACAAAATGATGACAAATAGGTTGTAAAATTACCACAAAAAGACCACACAGAGAAAAAATGACCAAAAAGAGTGTGGAGAGAGAGAAAATGACCACAAATACACACAAAATAACCACAAACACACAAAGAATGACCACAAAGAGACCCACAAGGACCACAAATATATGCAAAATTACCACAGACACACACTAAAAGTCCACAAATAAAGAGAATGACCACAAAGAGACACAAGAGGGCGACAAGGAGACGTGAAATTACACCAAAAAGAGACACAAAATGATGACAAAAGGGTTAAAATGACCACAAAGGGACACAAAATGACAACAGAGACGTATTAAAATCATGGAGTGTGAACAACAGGAAAAAAAAGCCAAATGAATACAAATGCTCTGGTGTGTAACTGAGGCTGGAGGTCGTGTCCTGGTGTCCTACAGCGCCTGAAGCTGCTCGAACGTTGTCGTCTTTCTGGTGTTTCTGTGGATTTGTGTCGTTTCCTGCAAAGTGACTCCGACTCAGGACCAGCTGATGAAGACGTTTGCAGACGTGCAGCACATTCCTGTTTTACAGCTCACACGGTGCTGTAAGCCGACACTGCTGCTGGCCTCAGCGGCAGCTGACCGAGGCTTCTTCATCATCATCATCTTCATCATCGCCGACCTCTGAGGGAATGTCTGGCACATGTTCCCGACAGAAACCCCTTCCAGGTGGCCTTGCTCGTCTCTCTCCCACCGTTCAGTCACTTTCTGGGAGGAATCCTGGAAATCACAAGTTGACTGGTTCTGGAAACGATCAGATATCTGAACATGAATCAGAACACTGAATGACGCCAGGTCCACAGTTTAGGTTCTGTTTTCTTGATGCTCTTGTCAAATGTTTTTAAAAATCTAAAATCTGATCTGAAGAAGTAAATCAGTGACTTGAAAGTAACTCAAAGCAGCTCCAGATCCTTAAAGTTCATGGTGCAGAAGAAAATGCAATTTGTCCAGAAGCAGAACCTTAAAGCTCCACTGACCACATGGACAAAGAAAAGGCCTTCTGGAGGAAAGTTCTGGTCAGATGGAACCAACACTGAGCAGAACCATGTCTGGAGGAGAGAAGGTGAGGCCTTTAACCCCAAGAACACCAAACCTACCATCAAGCATGGAGGTGGCAGCATCATAAAGTCAATGGAACCATGAAGAAGGAGCATCACCTCCACGTTCTCCAGGAGAACCTGAAACCATCAGCAGAAGGTTGATCTTGGACACAGTTGGATGTTCCAACCAGACAATGAGCCCAAACACACATCAAAGTGGTGAAGAAATGGTTCCATCAGGCTGGAATGAAGGTTCTAGACTGGTCTCCCCAAAGTCCTGCCTGGAACCATCCAGAACCTGTGGACTGATGAAGGAACAAGTCTGAGTCAGAAAGACGACGAGTTTAGTTGAACTGCAGCGGTTCTGTCCAGAGGAGTCAGAGATGGACCAGAAGCTGGTGGACGGAACCAGAAGAACCCGACTGAGGAGAACATGGACCTTTAACCAGATATTAACGTTTCTGTTTGTATGTTTATAAACCAGCAGATTTTGGCACATTTCTAGAAAACCTTTAATAAACCTCTGACTAAGATTCTCGTGTTTCAATGATTCCATCACAGAACATTTTAGCGTCACAGGAATCATTGGAGACTCAAGAACTGTCTGGATAAACACGGTCTGTACAAACGGAGTCCCAGCAGTCACCACATCAGCCTCAGGAAGATGCCAAACAGCAGCCACCAGGAACACATGGGTCAGAACCACACCATGCCCAAACAACAGTACACACACACACACACACACAAATATCAAAAAATAAAAAAACAACTACAAAGAGACCCGTTACACATGGACAGTCATTTAATTCATTTACATTAAGCTTTAAAAGCTGATCCATGCACGTGATGTCTGGTGAACTGGGGCTGCAGAGACCAGTTCAATGTTTTTATATTTATGGGACATTATCGTTTGTTTTTAACCTTTTTCACGCCGTGTGTCCGCATCAGCGTCCCGCGGCGTGTCGGTACTCACGCAGTCCGTGAGGAGGCTCCGGCGTGGGACCAGCAAACCCAGTAACGGAGGCCAACGCTGACTGGGGGCCTCCCGGCAGGGCGTGGCCTCGTGAACGCGCTCGGCAAGAGGACAAGGAGCAGGCGGCGCGCTCCCGCCGAACAGACGCGCACCGGCATCCAGCACCGGAGGTACGGACACCGCGAACGAGCAGCACCGGCAGGAGGACGGACACAGCGGAGGTCAGGATGCGGGAGATCGTTCACATCCAGGCGGGTCAGTGCGGGAACCAGATCGGGACGAAGGTACTCCCTCATTATTATCATTATTATTATGATTGTTATTATTATGATTAGAGGCTGTGAACTGTGTCCAGGCGGTGAAACTTTCTTCTGCTGTTTCAGCCTTGAAAACAAAACTTTATTTAAAAGCCAAACATGTGTCTGACTTTTAGGAAAATTCTGCAAAAGTGTGAATATTTGGCCTGTAAAAGGTTTCAGGTGTTCAAGACCAGGAAATGAACGTTCATTTACAAAATGAACACAGAGACAAAACAAAAACACAAAGTGAAAGAAAGATGATCACACAGAGACGGCAGGTGACACATAAACTGACCATAAATGACACATACGACAAGGAGACAAAACGGGACACAAAGAGCCACAAAACTGAAACAAAAAGACACGAAACCGTCACAAAGACACACAAAATGACTGCAGAGTGACAAAAAAATAACACAAAATGACTGAAATTGACCACAAAGACACACAAACTTCATACAAAGAGACACAAGGGACACAAAATGACCACATATGGATCCAAAATAACACAAACTGGCCTCAGAGGGACACAAAAAAGACACAAATCGACCACAAACGCAAAAAAAAATGACAGCAAAATGATATAAAGAGATGAAAAAAGACCACAAAGGAATGCAAAATTACAAGGAAACACTATCTGACCACTGAAAGACAGAAAGATACACAAAAACACGACAAACAGACACAAAAGCTAATATAAAGACGAATAAGGTGACACAAAGAGACACAAACTGACCACAAAGTGGAATAAAAAAACACAAAACCATCACAAAGAGGTGCAAAATTACTGCAAAGCAAAATAAAGTCATGCACAAAAGACACAAAGTGACCACAGAGATACACAAAAGGACATAAAGTGACCACAAAGTGAAGTGTGTCAGCACAAAGCAGCACATGGTGCAGTGTAGTGGGTCAGAGGTAGGGCAGTTGTGTAGCTGTAGTGAGAGCGGTGAATGTGGTGAGGAGGAGTGAAGTGACCTCTGTGAGCAGCCGACACACTATTCAAGGAATCTGGGTGAACACACACACACACACACACACACACACACACACTCTGAATAATCACACAACTATTTCAGTGTGGGTTTCTGTCGGGGAAGAGAGTGAAACATGAACAGAGACGAGAGAAACTCCTCAACAAGACACGCAATGACGACAAAGAGCTGGAAGCAAACACAAGATAGTTGCAGAGGAACACAAAAAGACCCAAAAAGACACACAAAATGACTGCAAAGAGACACAAAGTGACTGCAAAGAGACACAAAATGACTGCAAAGAGACACAAAGTGACTGCAAAGAGACACAAAATGACTGCAAAGAGACACAAAGTGACTGCAAAGAGACACAAAGTGACTGCAAAGAGACTAAAGTACGACAAATAGACACAAAATGGCCAAAAAAGGAACAAAAAGAGACGAAAAGAAACTCAAATGAGTCCAGATGGACACAATAAGACTAAAAACACACAAAATGACCACAAAGACACACAAAGTGACCACACAGGAAGTGTTCTGCTCCGTGAGGGAAGGATTTGGTCTCGTTTCCAGATGGTGGTGATTCGATGAACACATCATACATGTTCTCTTCTTTCTTTCTTTCTTTCTTCAGTTCTGGGAGGTGATCAGCGATGAGCACGGTATCGACCCGGCGGGGAACTACGTGGGCGACTCGGCTCTGCAGCTGGACCGGGTCAACGTCTACTACAACGAAGCCTCCTGTAGGTACAATCACGCTCTGAGTTTGGCTTGAAGTGTTGGTACGCCGCACTAACAACTGTCCTCTGTCGGCGCAGCGCACAAATACGTCCCCCGGGCCGTGCTGGTGGACCTGGAACCAGGAACCATGGACAGCGTTCGCTCAGGAGCCTTCGGACAACTTTTCAGACCAGACAACTTCATCTTTGGTAACACGAGTTTAGATTTTGCTTTGCTTGGGATTCAGTCGGAGTTAGCAAGTTGTTTGTCTGCTCCTGTCTCCTGTTTCCTCACCGAGCTTCATGTTTGTCTGCAGCATAAAGTCCTGCAGCTCAGTGGAACCAGAACAACATGAAGAAGGACAGAGAACTCAGAGATGTGTTCTGTCAGCAGGAATAAATACATTTGAATGACTATTTACTTAAAAACAAAACAAAAAAACAGAAACGGACAGAAA